CTTGCGTGTGTGTGTGCGTGCGTGTGTGCATGTGTGTGTGCGTGTGTGTGTGCGTGCGTGCAGTGAAGGATGTGGATGTGTGTGTGCGTGAGTGCAGTGAAGGATGTGTGTGAGAGCACGATGGTCACTGGCAGTCCCAGCAGTATGTGTTGCCTGTGCAACAGCAGTGAGCCTTTTGCATCGCACCAGCACACACAAGGGTCGTTTCTTTCAGCACCACACTGCACCCCAACCACGCCTGGTCACGCACTCCCCCCACCCACACTCCATCCAACCCACTCACAGCCCACCCACACTCCATCCAACCCACACTCCATCCAACCCACACTCCATCCAACCAACCCACACTCACAGCCCACCCACAACCCACCCACACCAGCAACACTGCACCCACACCCCACCCACACCCTCCCCACAATCCAACCCCCCCCCCCCCCCATGCGCGCTCCACCAGGAGTGGGGCGGCGAACAGCAGTGCGGGCGTCGTCCAGCGCATGGGCGTGCACTGTGTCGAGTACAGCAGCGCCGACCTCGCCTCCTCCGCCAACGAGAGCGCGACAGCTGGCGCGCTGCAAGCCGCCTTTGAAACAGCGAGCCGGTGAGAAGATCTATGGCTGGCTGTGGTGTGACATGGCATTCGCAGTATCCACATCATGTTGGTGAGATGCCCCGCAAGGGTTCCAAAAGGGAGCTGTCTCTACAATAGGGCAGCACTCTTGTGTTGCATCTCACTGCCCTCCTCTCCGCACTCCCTCCTCTCACTATCCACTGCTTCCTTCCCCCACCCCTGCCAACCCCTCAGCTACTCCCCAGCAGTGCTGCTGCTGCGCCGCTTCTCCGCCCCTCCTCACGCCCTCAGACGCCCCCGACGCCTCCTCCTCCGCCTCGCTGTCTCTGCTCGCCCACACACTGCGCGGCTGCATCCGCTCCTTCTCCCGCCCCCATGGGTCTTCCAGTGCAGCCCCACCCCCCTCGCACACCTCATCAGCCGCAACTGTAGCAGCAGAGGGAGGGGTAGGGGGGGCGGCGGTGGTGGTGGTGGCGTGTGTGGAGGAGGGGGAGGCGGAGGGCATGGGCGTGGCGGTGCGGCGGTGCTTCACTCACGAGCTCGCTGTGGGGCCACCGGATGAGGGGCACCCGCCACCGCCTGCTGCGCTTCTTCCTCCAGGTGAGCCCAGGGGCACAGCACCTGCGAATCACCCGTGGGGCCCAGGGGCACAGCACCCGTGGGGCCACCGGATGAGACTCACCGCCACCGCCTGCCTGCTGCTTCTTCTTCCTCAGGTGAGTCATTAGGGGCCGCAGCAGCTGTGAGTCATGAGGGGCCGCAGCAGCTGTGAGTCACGCTCAGTGAATCACGTCCTTGCTCTCCTCTCTCACCCGCCTCCATGCATCCTTCCCACCTCATTGTGCCTCCCTTTCTTTATTCCTTACTCTCTTCCCCACTGCCTTCCCCATGTCCTCTCCCACCACCTTCCCCACGTCCTCTCCCACCACCTTCCCCATGTCCTCTCCCACCACCTCCCCCATGTCCTCTCCCACCACCTTCCCCACGTCCTCTCCCACACCTTCCCCATGTCCTCTCCCACCACCTTCCCCACGTCCTCTCCCACCACCTTCCCCATGTCCTCTCCCACCACCTTCCCCACGTCCTCTCCCACCACCTTCCCCATGTCCTCTCCCACCACCTTCCCCACGTCCTCTCCCACCACCTTCCCCATGTCCTCTCCCACCACCTCCCCCATGTCCTCTCCCACCACCTTCCCACGTCCTCTCCCACCACCTTCCCCATGTCCTCTCCCACCACCTTCCCCACGTCCTCTCCCACCACCTTCCCCACGTCCTCTCCCACCACCTTCCCCACGTCCTCTCCCACCACCTTCCCCATGTCCTCTCCCACCACCTTCCCCACGTCCTCTCCCACCACCTTCCCCACGTCCTCTCCCACCACCTTCCCCACGTCCTCTCCCACCACCTTCCCCATGTCCTCTCCCACCACCTTCCCCACGTCCCCTCAGTCTCCCACCACCTTCCCCATGTCCTCTCCCACCACCTTCCCCACGTCCTCTCCCACCACCTTCCCCATGTCCTCTCCCACCACCTTCCCCACGTCCTCTCCCACCACCTTCCCCATGTCCTCTCCCACCACCTTCCCTCACGTCCTCTCTCCACCACCTTCCCCATGTCCTCTCCCACCACCTTCCCCACGTCCCTCGTCCCACCACCTTCCCCATGTCCTCTCCCACCACCTTCCCCACGTCTCTCCCACCACTTCCCATGTCCTCTCCCACCACCTTCCCACGTCCTCTCCCACCACCCTTCCCCATGTCCCTCTCCCACCACCTTCCCCACGTCCTCTCCCACCACCTTCCCCATGTCCTCTTCCCACCACCTTCCCCACGTCCTCTCCCACCACCTTCCCCATGTCCTCTCCCACCACCTTCCCCACGTCTCTCCCACCACCTTCCCCATGTCCTCTCCCACCACCTTCCCCACTGGTCCTCTCCCACCACCTTCCCAGTCCTCTCCACCACCTTCCCCACTGTCCTCTCCCACCACATTCCCCATGTCCTCTCCCACCACCTTCCCCACGTCCTCTCCCACCACCTTCCCCATGTCCTCTCCCACCACCTTCCCCATGTCCTCTCCCACCACCTTCCCCACGTCCTCTCCCACCACCTTCCCCATGTCTCTCCCACCACTTCCCCATGTCCTCTCCCACCACCTTCCCCATGTCCTCTCCCACCACCTTCCCCATGTCCTCTCCCACCACCTTCCCCACGTCCTCTCCCACCACCTTCCCCATGTCCTCTCCCACCACCTTCCCCATGTCCTCTCCACCACCTTCCCCACGTCCTCTCCCACCACCTTCCCCACTGTCCTCTCCCACCACCTTCCCCATGTCCTCTCCACCACCTTCCCCATGTCCTCTCCCACCACCTTCCCCACGTCCTCTCCCACCACCTTCCCCATGTCCTCTCCCACCACCTTCCCCATGTCCTCTCCCCCACCTTCCCCACGTCCTCTCCCACCACCTTCCCCATGTCCTCTCCCACCACCTTCCCCATGTCCTCTCCCACCACCTTCCCCATGTCCTCTCCCACCACCTTCCCCACGTCCTCTCCCACCACCTTCCCCATGTCCTCTCCCACCACCTTCCCCACGTCCTCTCCCACCACCTTCCCCATGTCCTCTCCCACCACCTTCCCACGTCCTCTCCCACCACCTTCCCCATGTCCTCTCCCACCACCTTCCCCATGTCCTCTCCCACCACCTTCCCCATGTCCTCTCCCACCACCTTCCCCATGTCCTCTCCCACCACCTCCCCCATGTCCTCTCCCACCACCTTCCCCATGTCCTCTCCCACCACCTTCCCACGTCCTCTCCCACCACCTTCCCCATGTCCTCTCCCACCACCTTCCCCACGTCCTCTCCCACCACCTTCCCCATGTCCTCTCCCACCACCTTCCCCATGTCCTCTCCCACCACCTTCCCCATGTCCTCTCCCACCACCTTCCCCATGTCCTCTCCCACCACCTTCCCCATGTCCTCTCCCACCACCTCCCCCATGTCCTCTCCCACCACCTTCCCCATGTCCTCCTCCCACCACCTTCCCCACGTCCTCTCCACCACCTTCCCCATGTCCTCTCCCACCACCTTCCCCATGTCCTCTCCCACCACCTTCCCCATGTCCTCTCCCACCACCTTCCCCACGTCCTCTCCCACCACCACCACCGCTTGGCCCCAGAGCCCTCCTTCCAGGGCTACAGCCGGGGGCGAGGAGGAGGACGTGGCGGCGGCTGTAGCGCGGGAGACGGCAGGGCTGCTGCCGCGCGACCTTACTGCTTCCCCTACTCTTCTTCCCACTGCTCCTCTCCCCAGAGCCCTCCCCCCAGCGCTACAGCCGGGGGCGAGGAGGACGTGGCGGCGGCTGTAGCGCGGGAGACAGCAGGGCTGCTGCCGCGGGACCTCAGGGCGCTGGCCGCCGACGCTGCTGCCTCCGCCATCCGCCGCTCCCTGCCCCCCGGGGGAGCAGATAAGGGCGCTGCTGGGGTTGCGGATGGCGTAGCTGCTGTGCAGAAAGCTCTAGGGGGGCGTTGCGGAGGGGCAGGGTGGGGAGGATGTCAGTGCGGAGACGAGCGGCGGATGCGAGGGAGAGGGGAAGGCAGAGGGGGGACTGGGGAGGGCGGAGGGAGAGGGGGTCAGGGAAGTGGAGGGCGGAAGCAGAGGTGTGGGGATGGCTGGGGGGACAGCGGGGGGTTTGGGCGGTGGGGAGGGCGGACGTAGAGGAGGCGATGGGGGCGGTGAAGCGGCGGGGTGGCAACGGTGATCGGCACTCCCAAGGTGCCCAACGTGCGGTGGGATGACATCGGTGGGCTCGAGGACGTCAAGGCTGCTATCCTTGACACCATCCAGGTGATTCCCCAGGCTCAGGTGAATTCCACAGCAGCCAGTGACTGTTGCACTGTTGTGCCGCTTTTATTCCCTCAATTTGATTCTGCGCCCCATTGTGTGTCTGTTTCCCTTTTCTCCTATCCCATTGCCCTTTCCCCCCTCGCATCCCCACCAGCTACCCCTGCGGCACCGGCACCTGTTTGCATCGGGGCTGCGGCAGCGCTCCGGTGTGCTGCTGTACGGCCCGCCGGGCACCGGCAAGGTGAGCGGAGGGGGGTGGCATGTGGAGAGAGAAGGAGCGTGGGGGTTGGTGGGTGTGTGGGGCATGGGAGGACACGCATGGGCGTGTCATGCGAGCCAATGGGTGTTGCACCCTTTGTTGACGGAACTCACATTCTTCACACTGCTTGCGCTGCTTGTTTTCTTCCAAGGCAGTGCATCATTGTGCGAGCGACTGCCGGTCAAGCAAGTGATGTCATGCGTGCACTGCTCCGCCATCCGCCCCGCACCACCATGTGCATGCCTCCCGTCAGACGCTGCTGGCGAAGGCGGTGGCGACGGAGTGCTCGTTGAACTTCCTGAGTGTGAAGGGCCCGGAGCTGATCAACATGTACGTGGGCGAGTCGGAGCGCAACGTGCGCGCCATCTTCGCCAAGGGCGCGCGCCGCCCGCCCCTGCGTTGTCTTCTTTGACGAGCTCGATGCGCTTGCGCCCGCCAGAGGGGCCGCTGGGGACTCGGGGGGCGTCATGGACCGCGTTGTCTCCCAGGTGGGCCTCTCTTGGCTGTTTGGCTGTTGCCTGTCAGGTGGGTCTCTGCTGCCTGTCAGGTGGGTTTCTGTTGTTGCCGAACATGGTGAATACTGCTGAGGAGGGATGGCGACAAGGGGTGTGTGGATGAAGGGCAACTTGCAGTACAGTTCCCCCCAGTCCCGCACTCATTCCTTCCGCCCTACTTCACCTGCTGCTCTGTTTCTTCCTGCCTGCCCAACCCCCCTTCGCCAGCTGCTTGCTGAGGTGGACGGCATAGGGTCCACGTCAGCATCGGATCTGTTTCTGGTGGGCGCCAGCAACCGCCCCGACCTCATCGACCCCGCGCTGCTGCGCCCCGGCCGCTTCGACAAGCTGCTCTATGTGGGCGCTGGCAGCACCGCTCTGCACCGCTGCAGGTGGGGATAGCAGGGATGGCTCGCACTCGAGTGAACAGGAGGTAGTATGCACTGAGAGACTGAGAGAGTGTGTAAGCTGCCTTGCCTTGCATAGCAATAGCTTTGCCTTACCTACCGGCTGTTTCTGTATCGTTTATAAGATTCATTGATAAGGACCGTTAGAGAGAGTAAGTTGTGTCCATAAGTGTGCAGCTGAAACCCTCTCACTGCCCTTGAATCCTTCACTGACCCTCTGCTGCATGCATTGTCCCCACCCACCCTCCCCCACGAGCCCCACAAGGTGCTGCAGGCGCTGACACGCCGCTTCCACCTGGGGGCGGGGGTGTCGCTGCAGAGCATCGCCGACCGCTGCCCCGACACTTTCACCGGCGCCGACCTCTACGCCCTCGCTGCCGACGCGTGGCTCTGCGCTGCCAAGCGCACCGTGGGGCACGGCCACACACCAGGCCGCTCTGCTGCTGCACGCTCCAAGGGGCACGGCGTGGAAGGTGGAAAGGAGGGGGAAGGGGACGATGCGGTGGTGGTGGAGCAAGCAGACTTCCTTAAGGTACTTGCCACTCCCTCCCCTTGCCTCTCCTCTCTTGGCATTCTTGTCGCATCCAGGTCCCCGCCTCCCTGCCCACCTCTCTTTGCCATCCTCCATTTGGTTTCCATCGAATTTATATTTTTTTCTGTATCACTATCCTTGTATGCGTTCCAGGCCTTGTCACAGCTGACCCCCTCACTCTCGGCATCAGAGCTGCATCGCTATGAAGCTTTACGAGAGCAGTTCCAGCCAGCAGGGCGAAGCCGTGTAGCGGCCACGGCTTGATGGCTGATCGCACGTCCAGAGCGTGCAGTTACGCCTCTAGAAGTTCACCAGGCTGCAGCACACTACAGAATATGATCGACCACACTGAAGCTGACAAGACGTGTGCTGTAAGATAAGCTTAGGGATCAGAATAAGTTTTTGTTTTCATCTCATTGTATAGTAAATGTATAATCTTTCCGTACACTGTAGCCATTCAGCCTCACCACACGGAATCATAAATTGCTTCCACGTCATGCCAAGAGCATCCACTCCACTTTCTTGGCGAAACTATCTGGGGTATGGCTTGGCTCTGTTTCACTCCGCTCAACTCATGTCTGCCCTCGCATGTCTTGAAACTGCAGATTTGTGATGCTTTGCTAATCAATCAGACCCAAGGGCGGGTCCGAAAAGCACGTACTAACGACAGTCCCCTCCCCAACAATTTTAGTTCTTATATAAAACGCTCTGAACCGTACCGAGCCTTGTTTAACCGCATTTGGACGTACTCTCAACACGCCCTCTGGCAGGTGCTTCCGAAATTTTGACGAGACCTGTTCAACTCGGAACCGGAGTGTATTGCAGAAGGAGCTTCGGAGAATACTGCAGAAGGGGAAACTGGAAACTCCTGCATCCGCAACATCCGCAACATCCGCCTGATGAACATTGCAGCTTTCTCCCCAACGACCGCGTTCGCTGCCACCCAGGTAGCCAACAGCCATGTTGCGCTGCTGACCAGAGAAGAGAGTAGAGCTGTCAACTCAAGCCGAACTACCTGGAGCTTGTTCCAAGCGCCTATCAAGTACATCTTTCAGGGCCTCCTCATTTCACTTGCATCAATCTGATTGATGCATTTCGTCGGGAAATAGGCGGGTAGCAGAGTTTGCCCGAGACTCTTGATGGAACCAAGGATTTGCGTTTGATTATTCATCCAGGCGTCATTCAAGCCAACTTAGGGCTAGGCACTACGAATGCTGGATTATTTGTCCGGTTTCTTACATCAGCGCAATGGCTGAACGAAGCAGCACGTGTTCGCAAAGACTGTCGCTGTTTCACTTGTTGACGTTTCTGCTATCGCTTCTGGTCTCACACAGCATCACCTTCGCGAATGCCGGCGCGTCGGAGAATGACGGTCAGTTCAAACCCCCCCTATGCCACTCGTGCGTCTCCATATGAAAGATCCGTTCATTAGGTTTTCGGAATGTGACTGAAGAGAAATCTAATTAAATAGTATGACTACGACTGGTGACAGTAGCGCTGAACTTCGTGAATGTGGCATTGCAATGTTGCGACCAGGGACCGTATTCACCGCATTGCAACAAGCAGAACTAAATAATACGCAGTTTAGGGTCACGGAGAGCCACGGACAATGTCGGCATGCAGTGAATGAACGTGACCCCGCTGGGACACGTGGCATCAAGCGTGGGCGTGTGCCAGTGAACGTGGACCCCGCAGTCAACGCAGTGTGGGCGCCGCCTTGCGCCACCATCTCACGCATCCCTTTCCGTCCTTCACCTATCGCCCTTACCTCCCCCACCTCCTCCCCCCTCCCCCCCACTCGTTCCGCCTCCCCCTAGCGCAGTGCGCGCGCTGCTGGACGTGCGCGCGGCGCTGAAGGAGGCGAACCCGGCGGCGCTGGAGTCGTGGTCGGAGAGCACGGACCCGTGCGGGGGGTCGTGGGAGGGCTCCTTCCGCTGCGACGACAACGGCCACGTCACCTTCCTGTGAGTCGCCATTCATGTGAGCGCCTTGCGGGGTTCACTGCGCGCGTGAAGCCGTTCCGCCCAGCCCCGCGTTCCTACCTCGCTGCTGCCACTCGGGTCCCCCCGTACCCAGTCCGCGCGCTCTTGCATCTCTTCCCCCCTCCCCCCAACCCCCCAAAACAACCCCCCACCTCTCCCGCGCCCGCGCGCAGGTCGCTAGCGCAGAAGCAGCTGCACGGGCCCATCCCCGGCGTGCAGCTCGCCGCGCTCACGGCGCTCAACTACATGTACGTCCGCATGTCGCGACAATGCACGCCGCCCACGCGCATGGTAAGCTCCCCACACTGCTCGTGTGAGCGCGTTGGCTCGCCTCGGCGCGCTTCTCGGCGCTAGGTGCTGACGACGCTGGGAGGGGTGCGGCAGGCGGAGCAGCAGGGAATGCGGCGGAGCAGGTTAAGGCTGGGAGACGCATGGCACAGACGTGCTTGCACTCACGTGCTCGGCTCGCTGGCCCTCCTCAGCTCTTGCCCACCCCGCCACCACCACGCGCCATTCCCCTCCCTTCTCCCTTGCCCCTCATGCTCCTCATGCCTCTCACCCGCCGTCCGCTCGCCCCCACGCCCCCGTGTGTGCAGCGACCTGGCGTCGAACTCGTTCACGGGCCCCATTCCCGAGCAGCTGCTGCGACTCACCTCGCTGCAGATCCTGTGAGTGCGGCTGTGCCGCCATTGCATTGCCACTCATACACCCACACCCGAGCTTCTCAGCACCAGCACTCAGGCCCACGACATGCCCTCACTCCATGCAACCCTTCGTTCATCCTTCTCAGGCGTCCCATCTATGCTCTATGGTACAATCCCATGCCCTGCCATCCCATGCCATGCCATCCCATGCCCTGCCATCCCATGCCATGCCATGCCATCCCATGCCATGCCATCCCATGCCATGCCATGCCATCCCATCCATGCCATCCCATCCATGCCATCCCATCCCTCTCCCAAACCACCCCTTCCCCCCCCCCCCCCACGCCTGGTGTGCAGGTCGCTGTCGTTCAACCAGCTATCAGGCACGCTGCCAGCGGGCTTCAGCCAGCTCCAGGCGCTCAAGCAGCTGTGAGCCGCGCGGGACGGGGGGTGGGGGCGGGCAGGGCGGGCGGGGTGGAGGCACAAGGGGTTGTCTCGGCAGGCCCTGTAGCTTCCGTAGAAGCGTGCATGGCAGCACGTGGATAGCATTCCACAGTGAACACATTACCTATCCGTTGACACCCTCTGTCGTGTGTGTGCCCCTCTCTCTCTCTGTGCACGTGCATGTGTGCATGCATGCATGCGAACAGGCAAGTGGCAGGCAACCAGCTATCGGGCGAGCTGCCAGCATCACTCTCCTCGCTCTCCAACCTCACCCTCCTGTCAGCCCCACTGCGCTCTGCCATGCCATGCCCATGCCATGCCATACCATGTCATGCCATACCGTGCCATACCATGCCATACCGTGCCATACCATGCCATACCGTGCCATACCATGCCATACCGTGCCATACCATGCCATACCGTGCCATACCATGCCATACCGTGCCATGCCATGCCATGACATACCGTGCCATGCCATACCATACCATACCATACCATACCATACCATACCATACCATACCATACCGTACCGTACCGTACCGTACCGTACCGTACCGTACCATACCATACCATACCATACCATACCATACCATACCATACCATACCATACCATACCAGGTGGACACCCATGCCATACTGTGCCATGCCATGCCATAGCATACCAGATTGACACCCATGCCAGCTATGCCATGAGTCATGTATGCAACCTTCTCTGACTCCGCCTCTCATCTTCCTCACATCTGTCTCTCATACGCCTCTCATCTGCTCCCACCTTTCCCCTTCTCTCTCCTCTGAAACGCTCCTGGCTGCTTGTGGCATGGCGTGGCGTGGCGTGGCATGGCGTGGCATGGCAGCAACCTGTGCAAGAACCAGTTCACAGGGCTCATCCCAGGCGACTGGAGCAGGATGACTCAGATGGCCACCCTGTGAGTGCTCGTCCCCCCCACTCCCTGTGAGTGCTCGCCCCCCCCACTCCCTGTGAGTGCTCGCCCCCCCCACTCCCTGTGAGTGCTCGCCCCCCCCACTCCCTGTGAGTGCTCGCCCCCCCACTCCCTGTGAGTGCTCGCCCCCCCACTCCCTGTGAGTGCTCGCCCCCCCACTCCCTGTGAGTGCTCGCCCCCCCCACTCCCTGTGAGTGCTCGCCCCCCCACTCCCTGTGAGTGCTCGCCCCCCCACTCCCTGTGAGTGCTCGCCCCCCCCACTCCCTGTGAGTGCTCGCCCCCCCACTCCCTGTGAGTGCTCGCCCCCCCACTCCCTGTGAGTGCTCGCCCCCCCCACTCCCTGTGAGTGCTCGCCCCCCCACTCCCTGTGAGTGCTCGCCCCCCCACTCCCTGTGAGTGCTCGCCCCCCCACTCCCTGTGAGTGCTCGCCCCCCCACTCCCTGTGAGTGCTCGCCCCCCCACTCCCTGTGAGTGCCCCCCTTTCACTGCCACCCTGTGATTGCCCCCCTCACTCCCACCCCTGTGAGTGCTCCCTACTCATTGCGACTGCACTGCTCACTTCTGTCGAAACACTGACTGCATGTCACCGTATGAGTAGCGTGGTTTCTAACTCACCCACCGTCCCCACTCTCCTTCCCCCCTGCCTGCCTGCCTGCCTGTGTGCGGGCATGAGCAGGCGCCTGTCGTCCAACCAGCTGTCAGGCGAGGTGCCCTCGTGGTTTGGCTCCTGGTCCAAGATCGTTGTGCTGTGAGTGCGCTTCCCCTCTCCCACTGTCAATGCACTGCCATTCCCGCCTTTCCTTGCTCGCACTGCACTGCACTGCACTGCACCATACCACTCTGCACTGCATTGCACTGCCTAACCGTCTGGTCAACGTATCCCTTGTTAATCAGCCACTCCTCGCCGTACCCCACCGTCCCCCCACCCACCGCGCCAGGGAGCTGTTTGGCAACAAGCTGGGCGGCTACATCCCGCAGGACCTCGCCCAGGCCACCACGCTCGCCTCTCTGTGAGCGCCTTGCTGCCCCGCCCCCACCCACATCACCACGCTCGCAACCTTGTGAGCATTCCTTCTTCCCTTCCCTGTTGCTCCCTTCACTCTATGTCCACGTCGCTCTCACTGCGCCCACCAGCCCGTCACTCACCTCACCCACTCACCTGTGCTTCTCTCCCTTCGCCCGCCCCTTGGCCCCCCCTTGCCCCCCCTTCGGCCTCCCCTGCTGTGCGCGCCACCCTGTAACCCATTCCTTGCACCTGGCAGAGCGCTGGACGTGAACGAGCTGCGTGGGTCGCTGCCGGACTCCTTCAGCCGCCTCACCCACTCACCTGTGACCCTCTTCCCTCGGCCTCCCCTCTGCCATTCCTGCTGTGCGCCCCACCCTGTACCCTCCTCCCCCTCCCCGCACCCTGCAGAGCGCTGGACGTGAATGAGCTGCGTGGGTCGCTGCCAGACTCCTTCAGCCGCCTCACCAACCTCAGAGAGCTGTCAGTCACGCTCCCCTCCCCCATGATTCTCCCATCCCTACTGCTCCCTTCCCCCCTGCTGCTCCCATCGCCCCTCCTCCCATCCCTGCTGCTCCCCTCCCTGCTGCTCCTTGCTGCTCCCATCCCATCCTTGCTGCTCCCTGCTGCTCGCTGCTGTTCCTTACTGCTCAGGGAGCTGTCGGTGCTGATCTAATCCTTCTTTCCACCCTTTTCCAGCACACACATGCCATGCCATCCCCGTCGCTGTCTGCAGTCTGTTGGCTGCATGCAGCCCTTTCTCTCGATGCTAACATGATTTCCTTGTGCTGATTCCACGCGTGTGGGGCATGGCGTGTGTGTGCTGGAATGGTGAATAAATGGTGCATGGATGGGTTGCTGGGCGGCAGGTACGTGTCGAGCAACAAGCTGGACGGCAGCATCCCGGCGTCCTACAGCACTCTCACTCAGCTGCGATTCATGTGAGCTGCCATTCATGTGAGCTGCCATTCATGTGAGCTGCCATTCATGTGAGCTGCCATTCATGTGAGCTGCCATTCATGTGAGCTGCCATTCATGTGAGCTGCCATTCATGTGAGCTGCGATTCATGTGAGCTGCCATTCATGTGAGCTGCCATTCATGTGAGCTGCCATTCATGTGAGCTGCCATTCATGTGAGCTGCGATTCATGTGAGCTGCCATTCATGTGAGCTGCGATTCATGTGAGCTGCGATTCATGTGAGCTGCCATTCATGTGAGCTGCGATTCATGTGAGCTGCCATTCATGTGAGCTGCCATTCATGTGAGCTGCGATTCATGTGAGCTGCCATTCATGTGAGCTGCGATTCATGTGAGCTGCCATTCATGTGAGCTGCCATTCATGTGAGCTGCACGCCACACACGCATGCATGCAGTGCAAGCACAAGGTGCCGGCATCACATCACGTGCATGCACGAGCTCACATCAAGCGGCCTTAAAAGAGAAGCAACCACTCTCCTCGCATCATCATCATCATCATCTTTCTGTCTCACGTCTATGCTCCCTTCCCTTGTGCCTTCTGTCCACAACCACTCCCCAAACTGTGTCTTTTTCATCTCTCTCACCTGCTGCCATGCGGCCTGCAGTGACGTGAGCTACAACGCTGGGCTGGGCGGCCCCATCCCCGCCTTCTTTGGTGACTTTGACAACCTGGCGTCCATGTGAGTCAACCAGGGTCAATGAAGTCAGTGTGATTCAATGTGAGTCAGTGCGGTGAATGTGAGTCTAAGCTAAGCAAATCAATGCAGCCCACGAGATGGCAAGTCACACGCCACCACACTCACCTCACCACCATCACACCACCACCCCAACTCCACCCCCCTCCCTTCCCACCCCTCCCCCTCCCCCCTCGCAGTGCGATGCAGTTCTGCTCCTTCTCAGGGCCGCTGCCCCCCTCGCTAGGCAACCTAGTCCACGTGCAGGAGGTGCTGCTAGACAACAACCAGCTCAGCGGGCCCATCCCGGACGAGTGGGGCACGGGGCTGGAGCGAGTGGAGGTGCTGCACCTCAACGACAACCAGCTGTCAGGGACCATACCGGGCACGTTCTGCCACCTGGAGTATGCCAAGGACGTCAACCTCGCCCTCAACCGCCTCCAAGGGCCCATCCCCATCTGCCTCACCTCGCTGCGCCGCATCTCCTCCCTGTGAGCGCATCTCCTCCCTGTGAGCGCATCTCCTCCCTGTGAGCGCATCTCCTCCCTGTGAGCGCATCTCCTCCCTGTGAGCGCATCTCCTCCCTGTGAGCGCATCTCCTCCCTGTGAGCGCATCTCCTCCCTGTGAGCGCATCTCCTCCCTGTGAGCGCATCTCCTCCCTGTGAGCGCATCTCCTCCCTGTGAGCGCATCTCCTCCCTGTGAGCGCATCTCCTCCCCTCCGTTAGACTCACCAATCTGTCGCCTCCCATCCCTTCTCCTGCCACCCGTGCACTGCACCACCTCTGCTTAGTAACCCTCCACCATCGCTCACCCAGAGATCAACCTTCTTCTGTTCCTTCACCCTCTCTCCCCTTGCATCCCCCTCACCCTGTGTTGTGTACCACCCTCTCCCAGAGTGCTCTCCTTCAATCGACTCACCGGCCCCGTGCCGCCTGTGCCAGCTGGCGTGCAGGTCTTCTTCAAGTGAGTGCCAGCTGGCATTGCACATTGCACATTGCACAATTGTCGCAAGGGATCGCTGCCAGCTGGCATGCCTAGCCTGCTGATGCGTGAAGCTCATTGCTGCTGCTGCTGCTGCTGCTGCTGCTGCGAGCATAGTATTTCGTGCTGTTGCTGCTCGTCCGCGCATTGAAGTGAAATGCCCTCATTCCTCTCAACCTACTCGTTCTCTTTGTTGGCGTTTCATTGCACGGCATGGCATGGCATGGCACGGCATGGCATGGTATGGCATGGCATGGCAGGGTGAACGGCAACTGTCTAGACGGAGTGGAGGACCAGCAGTCGCCCTGCCCTGCCCCCGATGAGCTTCCCCCTCCTGCCCCCACCCCACCCGAGCAGCCACAGCAGGAGGAGGCAGCACCATCAAGCTCATGTGAGTGCTGCATGCTGCCATGCTGCCATGCTGCCATGCTGCCATGCTGGCAGCGGAACTGGTTCTGACAGGCAGGGTTGTACTGCCCCACTTACTCATCCCACATGCCACATGCATATCCCACATGCCACATGCATATCCCACATGCCACATGCATATCCCACATGCCACATGCACATCCCACATGCCACATGCACATCCCACATGCCACATGCACATCCCACATGCCACATGCACATCCCACATGCCACATGCATATCCCACATGCCACTTACACATCCCACATGCCACATGCACATCCCACATGCCACATGCACATCCCACATGCCACATGCACATCCCACATGCCACATGCACATCCCACATGCCACATGCATATCCCATGCCACATGCATATCCCATGCCACATGCATATCCCATGCCACATGCATATCCCATGCCACATGCATGTCCCATGCCACATGCATATCCCATGCCACATGCATATCCCACATGCCATCCACTTGATAGCCGCGACTCCATCCCTGCTTTTTAAAGCAGCGAACTCCTCTTTCCCCCCACCCCACCTAATACTCGCATGTCTCTTGTCTCTCCCCCCAGCCACATGGTCATGGATGAGGGGGTTCCTCATAGCGCTGCTGTCAGCCACGTTTGTGCTGCTGCTCATCTTCGCCTTGGTGCTCCTCGCCAACCGCTCCGACTCCCACAACGCCTCGCGCTCCGACAACTGTCAGTGCCCCTCCCCTGCCACTCTGCCCCTCCCCCTGCCACTCTCCTCCCGCTCCCTATCTGCCCCTCCCGCTCCCACTCTGCCCCTCCCGCTCCCACTCTGCCCCTCCCGCTCCCACTCTGCCCCTCCCGCTCCCACTCTGCCCCTCCCGCTCCCACTCTGCCCCTCCCGCTCCCACTCTGCCCCTCCCGCTCCCTCTCTGCCCCTCCCGCTCCCTCTCTGCCCCTCGCGCTCCCACTCTGCCCCTCCCTCTCCCACACTGCCCCTGCCTCTCTCACACTGCCCCTCCCTCTCCCACACTGCCCCTGCCTCTCTCACACTGCCCCTCCCTCTCTCACACTGCCCATCTGCTCGTGCTCCATGCATCTCCTCACCCCACGCTCTACGTGCTCTCCTTTCAACCCTTATTCGTGTCCCTCCGCTTCTCCCTTCCGCGTCTCTCCCTTGCCTCTCTCACCTTCTCACTCCCCCTGGCCTCCCCAGCTCGCCCCCCTCCCTCTTCCTTGCGACCAGCATTGCTGCGGGAGCTGAGCCATTCCACACCAACCAACCAAGCCGGCTCAACTCTTCACGCCACTCACAAGCCAACCTCAAAGCCCCCTTCCCCCTCTCCCATCCCCCGCTGACGGTGCAGGAGTGCAGCCTGGGCAAGGTAACTTGGGTCAACTCATAAGCTCACCACCCTCTCCCCCCATGCGTGCGTGCAGTGGCGGTGCAGGAGTACAGTCTGGGCAAGATCAAGAAGGCGACGCGCAGCTTCACCACGGTGTACGGGAGGGGCAGCTTCGGCACCGTGTACCTGGCTGAGGACTTCCTGCGCGACCAGATCGAGACGCGCGCCATCATCAAACGCGCCCACGACCCCGAGAGTGAGTGTGAGACCTGTGGCGTCACCAAACGCACACATGACCCTGAGAGTGAGTGTGAGACCCGGAATCACGACGGTGTACGGGAGGGGCAGCTTCGGCACGGTCTACCTGGCGGAGGACTTCCTCAGAGACCAGATCGAGACGCGCGCCATCATCAAACGCGCCCATGACCCTGAGAGTGAGCCCACCAGGCCGTGAATGAGCTGGGGGAAGATGCCGATGAGATGGGGAAGAGAGTGGGTTTGAAAGGACATGGGCAGCAAGTGGGCGGGTGGATTAAACGAGGTGCCAGGGCTGCTGTCTCTTGACCATCTCAACATGCCCATTGCCCACTCACAATGCAACCACCCCTCTCCTCCGCCCCCCCTTCCGCATTGCCCCTGCCACATCCCCCTCCCCACAGAGCTGGGCGAGTACGTGTTCAAGGCGAAGGCGGACTTCCTGGAGAGGGTGAGGCACCGCAGCCTGGTGGCGCTGCGCTTTTGAGGCGCCTCAAAACTACACCCCCTCCCCCCCCCCTTCCCCCCACCCCCTCTCTCTCAGAGCTGGGCGAGTACGTGTTCAAGGCGAAGGCGGACTTCCTGGCGCGGGTGCGGCACCGCAGCCTGGTGGCGCTGCTGGGGTTCTGTGTGGGCAAGGGCGAGCGCATCCTCGTCTACGAGTACCTCCCCAACGGCTCCCTCTACGACCGCCTCCACCGTCAGCCCCCTACCCCATGCCCCTGCCCCCACTCCCCTGCCCTCTGTTCTTTGCCCCCACTGCCGATTGCCCTCCGTTTTCTGGCCCTTGCTGCCTGTCCCACTGCTTTCAAAAGCGCTGTCACATGTGGTGGGCCTTGAACCATTTTCACTGCTGCCACAACCGCATGGCCCCTCCCTCCGCCTCCTACACTCATTCCTTGCCTGCCCACGCTCTCCCCACTTCCCTCTCAATCTCCCCCTTATCCTGCCTGCCAACATCTTCTCCTCTTCTGTCTATACCTGCTCTTGTAGCCATATCCCATCCCTTTTTCTCTCACCCCCACCCAACGTCTCGTGCCCTGATGCCTTATCTCATGCACCCTTGCCCGTGCATCCACCCCACACTATCGCCCTGCCACAGGCCCGGACCTGGAGCCGATCCCGTGGGACACGCGCGTGCGCATCGCGGCGAACGTGGCGTCGGCGCTGAGCTACCTGCACCACTGCTGCCACCCGCCCCTCGTGCACCGCGCCGTCACCTCCTCCAACATCCTCCTCACCTTCGACATGTCCGGCAAGGTCCGTCCACATATCGCACGGTGCTGTGGCATGTGGTGGTGTGATTCCTTCATGCATAGCTAGCAGCATCATTCCCGTTCGCTCCTCCTGCTGTCCCTCATGCCCACCGCCCATCTGTCCTTCTCCCTTTTTCCCCATCTCCCCTTCTCCCCTCACCCCCCCTAGCTGTCTGACTTTGGGCTGGCACGAGGCGGCTCCCCCGCCATGTTTGACGACGGCTCCAAACGCCGCCGCCCCTCCAAGCCGGCACGCACGCGCAGCGGAGGGGTGGCGGAGGGCGAGGGGGGCGAGGGCGGGGAGGGGGGGGAGGAGGGGCAGAGTGCGCTGCAGGGGGGCGAGTTGGAGAAGGTGGATGTGTATGGGTTCGGAGTGGTGCTGCTGGAGCTGATCACGGGGCAGAAGGCCATGAAGGAGGTCCACATCACCAGCCTCGTGCGTCCTGCCCTCCTCCCATGCATGGCTGCTGCTTCAATGCATGGCTGCTGCTTCAATGCATGGCTGCTGCTTCAATGCATGGCTGCTGCCTGCGCTGCGCACCACTCTTACCATGCACCAATCACCTCATGTTCACAGCTATAAGCACCTACTTATTTGCTCGTGCTCTCCCACTCCTCTGCCTGCGCCTGTACCCCTGCCTCCCCTATTCCGCCCTCCCCTTATGCCAGGCGGCGCCATTCTTGGAGGATGCGCAGATGATGCCGCTGATGGTGGATGCGGCACTCGGGGGGTTCTTCGACCAGGCGGAGCTCATCGCACTCGGCACCATTGCTCGCGACTGCGTGAAGGAGGACCCGTCGGCGCGGCCCTCCATGCGCGACGTGGTGCGCACCATGCAGGCGCAGCTTGACCTCGAGGCCGACCTCTTCGCCGCGCCGGCCGGGGTCGCTGGCACGGATGACTTGGACCGGGGGGACGGGGGCGATGGGGTGGCCAACTCCAGTGGGTATGCACCGGTGGGCGGCAAGAGTGCGCTGGCCTCCGCATGGGTGTCGTTGGAGAATGTTGCTTCCTCTGTCCGCACCGCCCTGACCAGCCCCCGTGTGGCGCCGCCACATCCCGCCAGCGAGAGCACAGCCGATCCCACGGATGTGGAGATGTCCTCCCTGTTGCTCATTGCGCCTCGTGCTGCACGTCGGTAGTTTCACCAAGGCACTCGCATAAGCTCTGTTGTAGAGTATTTATTTAGCTCCACCTGTTGATCAAGTGCAGTCTTGTTTTAGTATTTTATTGGATCTTCCTGCTGTGTACAATAAGGAATTCCGTTGTTTAGGGTAGATTCCCAGCAGTATTTAGATCTACACTGTAAGCGAAAATATTGGCATTTGTAACGGACGACGATTGTGTTGTCCGGGTGATGGGATTGCAACATCGCGGACCAATCAGCGATCGCAAAAACTACAGGCAAAGTGATGTTGCCCACCAACCTACTGATGATGCCTCGCTCGAGTCGAGGCCATCCCAGCCATCCTCCGGTAACTCCACCACACACCGCTATTTCCGCCTGCCCAGTCCCCCCAGTCTCGATTCGAGCTCGCCATATGTGGCTGTGCAGTGCTCTTCGCTCGTAGGGCTGCCCGTCCCTCATCGTGCACAGGGCGAGGCTGCCCGCTCGGCAATCCCAAAGCAGCAACGACAACCTCCACCACGCCACTGGTCCTCCTCCTGCCCGAATCTAATTTATGAATGCCATGGCTGCCTCTGTTCCGTGTCCATCTCGAGCACATTCCATTCCATGCCCATGCTGTCCGCTCGATACATCATTCCTCGGCCCGTCAGCTGTCTGACCTAAACAGCATCGCGGGAGACTAACCAGGCTTCAGAAGCTTCGGTTAATCGACTGTTTTAGCTCTACTGTTCTCGACGCCTATTAACTTTATATTTTTTGGCTCCGCCATCATCCCTTTGTGTCGTCCGAGCGAGCACCGAAATAGTCGCCATGGACGTGAGGCATCAAGCGGCGCGATTCGAAATCAACGAGTTGCGTCGCTGCATGAGCACGTCGCTCGACAAGCTGGTTACCACCACGCCGTCGGTGCGTTTCGCCGACGAGGTCGTCGACCTGGAGGCGGAGGCGGGTCCGCCGCAAGTCACGTTCGGGCGGTCCACGTCGTTCACGTCGCACAGCTCGTCCGGCGAGACGGAGGCGGCGCGGCGGCTGGCGGTGCGGCTGCTGATCGGCGGCGCCAAGGAGGAGGGCGGCGGGGAGCCGCAAAAGGAGGGACGCGAGCGACGCCGTCGCCACGGCAGCAGCAGCAGCGGCGGCCGCACCAGCAGCAGTGGTAGCGGCAGCGGCAGCGGTAGCGGCAGCGGCAGCGGCAGCGGCGGCGGCGGCAGTGGGGAGGCGCGAGGGTCGTGGCAGAAGCACCGGAGCTATTCGTTGAATCAGGAGTGGTCGGGGGGGAAGCCCGTGTCGCGATCCAGTGGGGGCGGCTCGGAGACGGAGAGCGCAGACGGATCGAGCAAAAGCGAGAAGCGATCGCTGGCGAAGGAGGTTACAGCGCTTCGACGACAACTCGCGGAGTTTCAAGCTGCGAATCAGGACCTTCTAGGTGAGATGCGTTGCAGACCTGACAGAGCACGGATGGGGCAGAGCACGGATGGGGCAGAGCATGGGGCGTGGCTGTGGCTGTGCTGCATGGGTGCGTCTCAGAGTGCATGTTTGATGCGCTCTCGCCCGCGGATTGCGGAATGAGCGCTGCCAGCGCGAATTCATGTCGCACCTGCCTTGCCGGATAGCAGCTGCTGGATTCGTGCGGGCTGCACTGCTCTTTCTCGCCTTCCCGCGCCCTCCCCTTCTTCACCCTCTACTAAGTCCTTCCCTACACCCTCTCCTTCCCGCACCCTCTCCTTCCCACACCCTCTCCTTCCCGCACCCTCTCCTTCCCACACCCTCTCCCTCCCACACCCTCTCTTTCCCCACACCCTCCCTTCCCCACATCCTCTTCTTCCCCACACCGTCTCCTTCCCCACACCCTCTTCTTCCCCCTCTCCTTCCCACACCCTCTCCCTCCGCAAACCCTCTCCGTCCCCGCACCCTCTCCTTCCCCACACCCTCTCCTTTCCCACGCCATTGTGCTGTATCCATTTATCCCGTCAGCACCCCCTTCCTCCTGCCCACTCCCCTGCATGCTCACTCCTCGACCTCCCACTGTCCACCTCACCACTCACCTCCACTTTGACCAATTTCCACTCCCCCACTTTCCTCCATCCGCACTCTCCTGCAACCCCCCCATTCCCCTCCATCCTCTCACTCTCAGTCACTTCCACCTCCCCCACTCCCGTTTCCCACAGCCGTCCCAATCCCCGGCACCCTTACGCCATTCCCAGAATCTCAGCTCCCAAAGGCACCCTTCCACACCCTCTTCCTCCCTCGCATGTCCCCCAAACCCCCCCCCCCCCCCCCCCCCCCTCTTCCCCCCCCCGGGCAGACGAGCTGGACCGCAAGTCGCTGGCGGTGGCGGCAGCGGAGGAGGCGGTGCGGGACGCGCGGGCGGAGCGCGACCTGATGGCGGCGGAGATGGAGGCGGCGCTGGGCACGTGGACGCTGGCGGTGGACGAGGCCAAGGAGGCGGCGCACGCAGCGGAGGCGGCTCGGGAGCAGGTGGCGGAGCTGGAGACGGAGAACAAGCGCCTGTGGCAGCTCGTGGAGCTCATTCTCGAGCAGAAGGACAAGGCCGCGCTGGACGGGGGGGATGGCGCTGGCAAGTTCGATCCCACCACCAATGCGCGCATCATGTGAGTGCCCTCGCTGGCTCGCGGGGTGTGGGTGTATGGCGGTGCCTGTCTGCCTGCTGTGGAGTGCGGGAGAGCAGGTTCACTTCACAGGCACTCAATCCTGGTTCCTTCCCAGTTTGTAGTTGGTGCTGCCACTCACTGTGCCTGTGTCACTCTGTGCATCAGCATGCCCACAGCTCACCCGCCCTCTCCACCCGCCTGCCCTGCCCATGTGTGGTGCTTCCAGGAAGGTGCTGGAGTCGGTGAAGAAACCTAGCCACAGGAGCTCGCCGTCCCCCAGCCGCCCGGCCACGGGCAGCAGCAGCAGGCGGGGGGGCAGTGGGGGGTCCAGGGAGTCATCATCCAAGGCGGCAGGGGACTCGGAGAGGGCGGGTGAGGCGGGCTCGCGCAGCAGCAGATCGTCATCGTCCAAGCAGGTCCGCTGGTGACCCCCCTGCCATGCGCCCTGCGTGCCACACACTTCCCAGCCTCAGACACTGCCCACGAGGCTCGCGTGCGTACTACACCCGCACTCCACTGATTCACAACACAACGCTTTGTTGATATTTATATAGGAAGAGCCCTGTGCTTGCTCATGGGGGTAGAGTGTAGGAAGAGCTGTGCAGCTGATATTTGTTTCTTATTTTTTCCGGTGTAGGATTTTTTAGAGGCTGTTGTAGCAAAGCAAAGCAGTTAGGCTGTGTGAAACTATGACGACATTTTTATGGGCTGCTTTGCATCCAAATTCATCGTAAGATAATTCCTGCCGAATCTGCGTTACTTTGTCCGGCGGAAAAAAAGGCAACTAACAAGCGATCCCAATCACAATTTTATCCCACCAGCTGCCCCACGCAAATCTGCTTTTGAGGCAATTTCAGGTCGCAATTCACATTGCCGCGACAGGCTCCATCCCTACGCACCGCGTGCTCTCGGCCTTCCTTTCGCCTCCAACAGCCGTGCGCTTTACGCGTGTCCCGTTGTGCCTCTCCCCCTCCCCCCCCGTCGCGTGTGGCCATGCCCGCTTCAACTCTCCCGTTCTCCGCGCCGCTCGCCCGGCTATCCGCTCCGCTCTCCGCCTCCCACTCCCCCTCTCGCACGGCGCCCCTTCTCCCTTCTCTCCCGCCTCTCGAACTTCGCTCCTCCCTCCGCCTCTCGCGCTCCCCCACGCCCGCGCTACACTCCGCGCCTTGCCACACTTCACGCTCCTCCCGCTGTTCTGCTGGCGAGGGTATGGCGACGGCGTCGCAATCACCGCCTGACGCGGGCAGCAGGCCACGTGTCATCAAGCTAGAGGCGATCCCGCTGACCCGCGAGGCGTTCGCGCCGTTCGGCGAGGTGGTGGAGCCCGCGGAGGACGGCGTCGCGTTCGGCGCGGCGGACGCCGCCCTCGACCTGTCGCAGGGCGCGCCCAGGTGGGCGCGGGGAAGGGGGGAAGTGGGACGGATGAGGAGCCGAGTGGGGAGGGGAGAGGGGTGGATGCGTGGATGTGATTTATGGGTAAAGTTGAGGCCTAAAGGGAGGGGGGAAAGCGGGGGAGAGGGGGTGGGCGATGCGGTGCGCGTCCCGTTGAGCGCGCATTATGCATCATGCAGTGGGAGGGTGAGGCTGAGGGTGAGGGTGAGGGTGTGCGCCGTGCTGCGTGGTGGCGTGAGCGCCTGTGGCGAGGGCCGCTAACCGCCCTGTCTGCCATGCGCCGTTCGGATGGCCAGCTGCACTGTTAGCCGCCATCCGCTCCTCCTCGCATGCTCTCGCCTTGGCCATGTGCCAACCACGATTCTTCTCACAATGCGCACAATGTAGCTACCCGCCTCCCGCCCCTCCTGCCTCCCTTTCCCCCTCACCCGTCCCCCCCAGGGTGTACATAATGCGGCTGAGGGATCGGAAGCTGGGGTTTGAGAGCATCACGCACCACGCGCGCGTGACGCAGTGCCTGGGCGCCGTGGGCGGGCACCCGTGGTTCCTGGGCGTGGCGCCGCCCTCCGTCGTTGATGGGGAGGATGGTGATGGTGGCGCTGATGGGTAAGTGGGGCGGGCAAGAGGGTGCAGTGGTGGGTGGTGGGGAGTGCGAGGGGTGTTGCAGTGCGAGCAGAGGTGGTGAGAGGCATGGCATGGAGGGAGAGGCATGGAGGAAGAGGCATGTGGAGGTCCAGTGTGTGTGCTGGCTGCGTGTGTGTCAGCTCTGCCGTTCCTCTCTGCCCCCTTGGGATTGCCGCCACCGCATGCTCGCCGTCCTTCACTTCCCCCCCTCCCTCCCTTCCCCAACCCCCACGCTTCCCACCGTGCTCGCCCCCTTGTACACACGCCACGCCATCGCTCATTCCTTGCCCCTCCTCGCCCTCGCCTCCCTCTCATGCGCCGTGCCTCTGTCTCTCTCCCCCTGCCTCCCTCCCCTCCTCCCTCGCGTTGCCGGCAGCAGGGCGGTGAAGCAAGGGGCGGCGGGGCAGAGGTACCGCGTGCCAGAGGTGGGGGCGGTGAGGGTGTTCCGCATGGAGGGCGCTGTGGTGGTGAAGCTGCATGCCGGCACGTGGCACGCGGGGCCGCTCTTCACCCAACCCTGCATGGACTTTTTCAACCTCGAACTGTATGATACCAATGTGCGCGGGGGAGGGGGGGGAGGGGGGGGGTGAAGGGGGGTGAAGGGGGGTGAAGGGGGGTGAAGGGGGGTGAAGGGGGGTGAAGGGGGAGAGCGGTGGTGGTGAAGCTGCATGCCGCCACGTGGCATGGCATGCGGGGCCGCTCTTCACGGCGCCGTGCATGGACTTCTTCAACCTCGAGCTCCGTGACACCAACGTGCGTGCTGAAGTGGGGGGAAGGGGGGTGAAGGGGGGTGAAGGGGGGTGAAGGGGGGTGTAAGGGGGGGGAAGGGGGAGAGGGGTGGTGGTGAAGCTGCACGCCGGCACGTGGCACGCGGGGCCGCTCTTCACACAGCCCGCCATGGACTTTCTTTAACCTCAAACTGCATGACACCAACGTGCGCGGGGAAGGGGGATGGAAGGGGGGGGTGAAGGGGGGTGAAGGGGGGGGAAGGGGGGTGAAGGGGTGGTGGGGGAGCCAGGGGGGGTTAGTGCCGGCACGTGGCATGCTGGCCCGCTCTTCACCGCGCCCGCCATGGACTTTTTCAACCTCGAACTGCATGACACCAACGTGTGCGGGGAAGGGGGTGGTGTGGGAGTGGCGAGGGGTGGTGGAGAGTGTGGAAGGGTTAGTGTAGACACCTCGTTCATGCATCTGCTGTTCTCCGTCTCCCACCCCTCGCACCATTCACACACACACGCATGGCCCTGCCCTTGCTCCATGTGTGTGCCCCTTGTGTGTCTCCCAGCCTAACCTTCACATGGCACATGTTTTCTGCAACTGTCTGTTCGCCATCCCCTGTACCCACTTGCACTACCCTGCACCCCCTTGCTCCCCCCTGCACTCCCTTGCACCCCCATGAACCCCAGGTGGTGGACCACACAACGCACAGCTTTGCTGACAGCAACGGCGTGGTGTTTGAATTCGACGATGCACGCTGTGTGACGGATGGGCTGCTTGCACCCAACCCATGTGCGGCGCCTGTCGCACATCACTGTAGACCAGGCCCCTAAATTTGTTTTGGACCAGGCCAGGTTCTCAGATTGGTTTTGAGGCACCCTGATCACTCAGGGAACATTCCTGTGTGGACACAAGTGTCTCAATCCCCTTTTTTCCGAGTCTCGTCTGCAAATTTGCCAAATCTCGCGTCACAAAGAACTGATGTACCGCGACATTGTGCGACTGATTGAGAGGTAAAGGTAACAGTTAGATGCTGTTTACTGGCTGGGTGAATTTTACGCGAGCCTGGACGTTTTGCCGCCAGGCAGAGATGCCAAAACACTGTGCATGAAGCAGCGGGACCCGCAAAGCGGGTCAAAGTGACGCAACTTGCAAATGATGCGCCACGAGTTGGTATAGGCACTACACACACAGGTGCAAAACAGGGGTGTTCACAAGTACAAACAGCAAGCATCACATACAAACTGCACTGCTCACTGCAGTTGCAACTATGGCAGGGCCTGGTGCTGTGCCTTTCCTCATGCGATTGCTAGTCGCATGGATCACGTTCTTTCTACTACTCTATTTTCATGGACGTGGTCGCTAGGGCGGTCGGCGGCTTGCTGGAAGCCAATGTCTTCTCCGATGACATCTCGTCGCCACCTACCTCACACGGCTCCAGTAGGTCGACCGAGCGAAGAGAAGGGAAAGTCTGCGCGCTCGTCGGTACCAGCTGTTGCTCGAGGACCTGCATGGCATGGGAGACAGCGACTTTTAGAGACCTCTTTAGGATAAATCGTTCAATACTGGAGTACATTGTCGCTGGCATGGAACACTATATGCAGCTATATGTCGATGTAGTATAATCTAGTGGACCAGCAAGAAAAAAATAGCATCCAACGCCAATCAAATTGATGCGTTGGGCAAGATGGTCAGTATGGGCATCTATAATGAGCGTACCAGGCAGAGTTTGGGCGCTCAAGTCTTGCCAACCACATGGAATGCAACAGGTGCTGCTCGCCGGTGGTGCAGCAAGCGCGCTCAGGTCCTGTTGAGAGCGACTGAACGCCGGTCATCAAGCATGACACTTCATCCTGTCGACGTACCAGGTGAAGGACGACCTGTACATCGTAGGCCCAGACAAGCGCAACCTCGTAACACGGAATGAGCGCTTCCAGCCCCAAAACGCGGAAGGATCCGCACATGTGCAGGAAGTGCAGCGGCCGCTCTTCATTCGCGAGCGCCGTTGACCTATGTGTCAAACATTATATATGTTGTGCTTGTTTAGGCTACAGTGGGTTAGTCTATAGGGGGTACACAATTCTAGGGTTAGGTACTTGTACTCATTTCACTGTTAGTTCCACCATTCCTGTTTGTTCATCTCAACATGGTATCAGAGCAGGTCCTTCACTAGGACCGTTTTTAGGGCCCACCACTACCTACCTACCTACCTACCTACTACGCCCTAGGGCGCCTCGTGCTTCACGGCCCACTAAGGCCCCGCGACCCGCCCCTTAGCGACCTACGCGCCGCCCCTTAAGGCCCCGTCGGCCCACGCGCTAGCCCCTTAGCGACCCCGTCGGCCCCGCGATCGCCCCTAACGGCCCCGTCGGCCTTGCGCTCACCTCCCTAGAGGCCCCCCGTCGGCCCCGCGCTCGCCCTTAGCGGCCCCTTACGGCCTCGCGCTCGCCCCTACAAGCCCCGAACGGCCCCGCGCTCGCCTTTAGCGGCCCCTTACGGCCCCGCGCTCGCCCCTAGAGGCCTCGAACGGCCCCGCGCTCGCCCCTAGAGGCCCTGAACGGCCCCGCCAGAACGAGCCGCACGAACCGAGCCGCCCAGCCCGAACCGAGCCGCCCAGCCCGAACCGAGCCGCCCGAACCGAGCCGCCCAGCCCGAACCGAGCCGCGCCGCCCTACCTGAACCGAGCCGCGCCGCCCGTACTGGACGGAGCCGCCCTACCTGAGTCGCACTGCCTACTGTTTCTGGGGTGCACCTACTGCTATTACTGCTACTCTACTGTTACTCCTACTACTGCTATGGCTAGCCCTCCTGTGCTAGCTTTCGATACTGAGGGCCGCCCAGTGAGGTTCGAAACCTGGCTAGATGACCTACACCTCTTCCTACAGCTCACTGCCAAGGAGGACATCTCACTGTACGATCACGCCCTAGGCCATGCTACTACTCCTGCTGCTACTGCTGACAGCACCACCCGCTCACAGTGGCAGACTCGTGACGCCCACGCTCGCTTCGCTATTCGCAACTCCCTGCCGATAGATGAGCGCGAGCACTTTGGGCAGCACAAGACTGCACAGGCACTGTACACTGCTGTCGTTGCCCGCTACTCCTCACCGGCCTCTGCCGCACTAGGCCGTCTCTCTCTTCCCTACCTGTTCCCCGACTTAGCCTCTTTCCACACAGTCGCTGACCTCATTACGCACCTCCGCACTAGTGAAGCTCGCTTCCGCGCCGCCATGCCTGATGAGTTCCTAGCCAAGAACCCACCCCCGCTCTGGCTCACTCTCTACCACCTAGTCACCCGCCTCCCTGACACTCTGCGCTCAGTCAGGGACCACTTCCTAGCTCGCTGCCCCACTGAGCTCACCATTGCCCTCCTCGAGAAGGAACTCCTTGCAGCTGAGGCTAGCATAGTCGCTGTAGGTGCCTCTCGTGGCGACCCCCGTACCCCGTTCTTTGAGGGGTGTTCTCCTTCCCCCCTTCTTCCCTCTGTCGCCTCTGCTGCTGCTGTCGACCTCCTTGGTGCTGAGAAGGTCGTGACTGCGTCTGCTTTGAGCGGGCGCCGCAGCGGCAAGGGCAAAGGGGGCAAGGGCGGTGGCGGTGACAGCGGGGGAGGCGGTGGTGGGGGCGGTGGCGGTGGTGGGGGTGGTGGCGCGACTGGAGGGGCTAGTGGCAGCGGTGGGGGTGGTGGCGGCAGCGGCGGGGGAGGTGGCAGGGGCGGAGGCGGTGGTGGGGGTGGCAGTGGACGCGGCGGCAGCGTGTCGAGGGGCGGCAGCGCGCCGCTCCTCACTCCTCCTCGTTTCCCCCGACTACTGCTCCCTTGCAGACGCTCCACATGGACGTGTGGGGCCCAGCCCGCGTCCGTGGTCAGGGTCAGGAGAGGTACTTCCTGATAGTTGTTGACGACTACTCGCGCTACACCACGGTCTTCCCCTTGCGCACCAAGGGTGAGGTCCCTGATGTCTTGATCCCTTGGATCCGCAGAGCCCGTCTCCAGCTCAGCGAGCGTTTTCACTCGGACTTTCCTGTCCTGCGCTTGCACTCTGACAGAGGTGGTGAGTTCTCCTCCGACCTCTTGGCAGCATACTGTGCTGAGCACGGCATTGAGCAGTCGTTCACAGCTTCCGGCCTCTCCACAGCAGAATGGGGTTGCAGAGCGCCGCATTGGCCTGGTCATGGAGGTCGCCCGTACCTCCTTGATCCATGCGGCTGCCCCCCACTTTCTGTGGCCGTTTGCGGTCCGGTACGCTGCGCATCAGCTCAACCTCTGGCCCCGTGTCTCCTTGCCGGAGACCTCGCCCACACTGCTGTGGACGGGGGAGGTTGGCGATGCGTCGCGTTTCCGGGTCTGGGGATCTCGAGCTTTTGTCCGCGATACGTCTGCGGACAAGCTCTCCTCCCGTGCTGTTCCCTGCGTCTTCCTCGGCTTTGTCCCGGACGCGCCTGGTTGGCAGTTTTACCACGCCACCTCGCGCCGAGTCTTGCCCTCTCAGGACGTCACTTTTGACGAGTCCGTCCCCTACTACCGCCTCTTCCCCTACCGCATCTTCCCCTACCGCACTGCCCCGCTCCCCCCCCCGCCTCTCTTCCTCGCGCCAGGTGCTGCTGTCGTAGACCCCCTCCCCCCTCAGGGTGCCGCTCCCTCAGGTGTGTCTCAGGTAGACCCGGTTGAGCCTGTTGAGGTAGCTGTCGACTCTCGTCCTGCTGCGGGTGCTGAGCCTGGGGGTGCGGAGCCTGGGGGTGCGTAGCCTGGGGGTGCTGAGCCTGGGGGTGCGGAGCTTGGGGGTACTGAGCCTGGGGGTGCTGAGCCTGGGGGTGCGGAGCTTGGGGGTACTGAGCCTGGGGGTGCTGAGCTTGGGGGTGCTGAGCCGCAGAGTCCGGAGTCTGGGGGTTCTGAGTCTGGAGGTCCTGAGCCTGAGAGTCCTACACCTGGAGGAGCCCTCTCCTCGGAGCAGCTGCGTGAGTGGTACTTACAGTACTGCAGCCTCAGGAGAGGTACCTCTGGGGCCAGGCGTACTACTCGGACTGGTGCTAGTGCTTCTCCTCCTAGCCGGGAGCTCCCCTCCCGTGAGCGGATCCGTGAGTGGTACGTGCGCCGCTGCACTCTTCGGAGTGGGGCGCTTGGTGTCGCGGACCCCGCTGCTGCCGTTGGAGCTGCTGCTGGTGCTGAGGACCCGGGCGTAGGAGCTGCTGCTGGTGCTGAGGACCCGGGCGTTGGAGCTGCTGCTGGTACTGCGGACCCGGGCGTTGGAGCTACTGCTGGTTCTGAGGACCCTGGCGCTGGTGCTGCTGCTGGTGCTGTGGAGTCGGGCGTTGGAGCTGCTGCTGGTGCTGAGGACCCGGGAGTTGGAGCTGCTGCTGTTGCTGAGGACCCTGGTGCTGGTGTCTCTGCTGGTTCTGGAGTCGCTGCCCGACACCGGCCGTACTTCGTTCCGCTCCTTCAGCAGGTTCTTGGTCTCCCGCCTTCCCCCGGTCCTCCTCCTCCCTTCGAGTGTCCACAGCTTGTCCAGTCACAGTTACAGTTACAGCCCGCCTCCCCACTGCCTGCTCCTTCTCCCTACACTGGTCCTACTGGAGGTCTTGCTGAGCGTCGTGAGCCTGCGTCTCGCCCTGCGTCGCCTGTCCGTGCTGCTCGCACTAGTGGTCGTGGTTCGCGTCAGCGTCCTCCTCCTGTCCCTGGCACGCACCGGATGTCTCTGCGTCCGTCCACTACTCCTCTGCGTGCCCCTTTGCCTTCTCCTCCTGAGTCCTCTCTTCCTGCTCTTCCTGACCTGGAGTCGGACTCTCTTCGTGCTGCCAGTCCTACTGTCACGCGTCTCCTTGCTACTGTTGTCACTGACCCTTCCTTTGAGTCCACTGCTGCGTCTGCCCTAGTTACTGAGCTCGTCGACTTTGCCTCTCGCTGTCGTCTAGACTACGCTGCTAGTCTTGTCACTGAGTCTGAGTCTGTCTGTCCTCCGTCCGTCGGGGGTGAGTGTGCCCTTGGCACGGACGTCCTTGAGGACAGGCAGGAGGAGTTCCAGTGCTTGGCTGCTGCTTCACCTCATCTCGTGTCCGTACTGCTTACCCCTGAGGGAGACCCGGATGCACTTGATATCCCGACTCCGCGCTCTTACGCGGAGGCGATAGAGGGTCCCTACTCTTCTCAGTGGCAGGCAGCTATGGATGCAGAGATGGCTTCCTGGAAGTCCACAGGCACCTACGTTGACGCTGTCCCCCCTCCTGGGGCGAACATCGTCAGTGGCATGTGGATTTTCAGGGTGAAGCGGCCGCCGGGTTCTCCGCCTGTCTTCAAGGCGCGTTACGTGGCTCGTGGCTTCAGTCAGCGGCAGGGAGTTGACTACTTTCAGACCTTCTCTCCCACCCCGAAGATGACCACTCTTCGGGTACTGCTGCACGTAGCTGCTCACCGTGACTACGAGCTACACTCTCTTGACTTCAGCACTGCTTTCCTGCAGGGCAGCCTGCACGAGGAGATCTGGCTGCGCCGCCCACTTGGCTTCACTGGGACTTTTCCTCCTGGCACCCAGTGGAGCCTCCGGCGGCCAGTCTACGGTCTCCGCCAGGCACCGCGTGAGTGGCACGACACACTGAGGACTACGCTTGCGGCTCTTGGGTTTGCTCCCTCTACTGCCGACCCGTCGCTGTTTCTACGCACCGACACTTCTCTGCCGCCGTTCTACATCCTCGTGTACGTCGACGACTTGGTCTTTGCCACAGCTGACACTGCTGGACTCGCCTACGTGAAGTCCGAGCTGCAGAAGAGACACTCGTGCACAGACCTGGGTGAACTGCGCAGCTACCTTGGCTTGCAGATCACCCGGGACAGAGCACGCCGCACCATCACCCTGACTCAGTCACACATGGTGCAGCAGGTCCTTCAGCGCTTCGGCTTCACGTACTCCTCGCCTCAGGCCACTCCTCTGCCTACTCGCCACTCGCTCTCAGCTCTGCCTTCGGATGAGTCCGTAGAGTCGAGTGGCCCGTACCCAGAGCTTGTTGGCTGCCTCATGTACCTGATGACCTGCACGCGACTTGACCTTGCATACCCTCTTAGCATTCTCGCACGCTATGTTGCTCCTGGGAGACACCGACCAGAGCACATGGCTGCAGCGAAGAGGGTGTTGCGCTACTTGTGCAGTACGTCGGGCATGGGGCTAGTGCTTGGAGGGCGGAGTCCAGTGGTCCTCACTGGTCACGCAGACGCTTCTTGGGCTGACGACCAGGCTACGCAGCGGTCGTCACAGGGTTACACCTTCAGCCTTGGTTCCGGCTCTGTTTCGTGGCGGGCTACTCGCTCGTCTTCTGTTCTCGGCTCCAGTTGTGAGGCTGAGATCTACGCAGGGGCCATGGCTGCTCAGGAGCTTCGCTGGCTTACCTACCTGCTGACCGACCTTGGAGAGCCGCCTCGTTCTCCTCCAGTCCTGTACGTAGACAACAAGGCCATGCTGGCCTTGTGTCGAGAGCAGAGACTGGAGCATAGAACAAAGCACATTGCTCTCCGCTACTTCCTTGCTCGTGAGCTACAGCAGCGTGGTCAGTTGCGGCTTACGTACGTGGCCTCTGAGGCCAACACTGCTGATGTCTTCACCAAGGCACTTGCGCCTTGTGATCATCAGCGCTTCTGTACCCAGCTGGGTCTTGTGCCTGTCTTGCCTCACTTGCTCACCTCTTGACCTTGGTTGTACTGTTACATATATATGTACCTGCTCTTGCTTGTCTAGCCTTATATATATATGTACTCCTACATGTGAACTGGCCTTGTGGCCTTGAACTTGTGCTCGGAATGTGTGGTGACTTTGTGATCCACCCTGAGCTGGCCTTGTGGCCTTGAACTTGTGCTCGGAATGTGTGGTGACTTTGTGATCCACCCTGAGCTTGCTTTGCCTTGCTTTACTTGACTGGTCTTGTGACCCCTAGTTCTCCCCACTTCGCCTATGGGGGTGTGTCAAACATTATATATGTTGTGCTTGTTTAGGCTACAGTGGGTTAGTCTATAGGGGGTACACAATTCTAGGGTTAGGTAACTTGTACTCATTTCACTGTTAGTTCCACCATTTCTGTTTGTTCATCTCAACACTATGATGCTCGCAACCCTCCCACGCCCTTGCTGGCTTGGCAATAGACCCAGACAAGCGCAGCCACGTGACAAGGGCAGATAAAAAACGCTCAGAACGAGCGCTTCCAGCCCCAAAACGCGGAAGGATCCGCGCATGTGCAGGAAGTGCAGCGAGCGCTCTTCATTTGCGAGCGTCGATGACCGATGATGCTCGCAACCCTCCCACGCCCTTGCTGGCTTGGCAATAGGCCCGGACAAGCGCAGTCACGTGACACGGTGGAAGAAAAACGCTCGAAACGAGCGCTTCCAGCCCCAAAACGCGGAAGGATCCGCACATGTGCAGGAAGTGCAGCGGGCGCTCTTCATTCGCGAGCGCCGATGACCGATGATGCTCGCAACCCTCCCACGCCCTTGCTGGCTTGGCAATAGGCCCAGACAAGCGCAGCCACGTGACCCGGTGAATGAAAAACGCCCGGAACGAGCGCTTCCAGCCCCAAAACGCGGAAGGATCCGCACATGTGCAGGAAGTGCCGCGGGCGCTTTTCATTCGCGAGCGCCGATGACCGATGATGCTCGCAACCCTCCCACGCTCTTGCAGGCTTGGCAATAGGCCCAAACAAGCGCAGCCACGTTACCCGGCGGAAGAAAAATGCTCGGAACGAGCGCTTCCAGCCCCAAAACGCGGAAGGATCCGCACATGTGCAGGAAGTGCAGCGGGCGCTCTTCATTTGCGAGCGTCGATGACCGATGATGCTCGCAACCCTCCCACGCCCTTGCTGGCTTGGCAATAGGCCCGGACAAGCGCAGTCACGTGACACGGTGGAAGAAAAACGCTCGGAACGAGCGCTTCCAGCCCCAAAACGCGGAAGGATCCGCACATGTGCAGGAAGTGCAGCGGGCGCTCTTCATTCGCGAGCGCCGATGATCGATGATGCTCGCAACCCTCCCACGCCCTTGCTGGCTTGGCAATAGGCCCAGACAAGCGCAGCCACGTGACCCGGCGGAAGAAAAACGCTCGGAACGAGCGCTTCCAGCCCAAAAACGCGGAAGGATCCGCACATGTGCAGGAAGTGCAGCGGGCGCTCTTCATTCGCGAGCGCCGATGACCGATGATGCTCCCAACCATCCCAAGCCCTTGCTGGCTTGGCAATAGGCCCAGACAAGCGCAGCCACGTGACCAGGCGGAAGAAAAACGCTCGGAACTAGCGCTTCCAGGTCTAAAACGCGGAAGGATCCGCACATGTGCAGGAAGTGCAACGGGCGCTCTTCATTCGCGAGCGCCGATGACCGATGATGCTTGCAACCCTCCCACGCCCTTGCTGGCTTGGCAGTAGGCCTAGACAAGCGCAGCCACGTGACCCGGCGAATGAAAAACGCCCGGAACGAGTGCTTCCAAATTCAAAGCGCGGAAGGATCCGCACATGTGCAGGAAGTGCCGCGGGCGCTTTTCATTCGCGAGCGCCGATAAGCGATGATGCTCGCAACCCTCCCACGCCATTGCAGGCTTGGCAATAGGCCCAAACAAGCGCAACCACGTTACCCGGCGGAAGAAAAA